CGCGGGGACGCTGTGGGGACGTTTTCTCACAGAAGGATGAAAGATTTTCCCACGAAATTCCCACACAATTGGGGAAAATGCCGGGATGGCCGCACTGCGCATGCTCAGCTCGGCGCGCTCCCGGCGGCGGGAGTTAGGACCGAAGGGCGGGTATGGACGTCACGTGAGGGGTAGCCGGCTCTACCATTGGCTCAGGGCAAGGTAAAACTAGGGCGTTTCACTTCCGGGTTACCTCAGTGCACGTCAGGTCCCGCGGCGGTCGGGTCGGACGCGGCTGCTGCCCTGCTCGCGTGAAAAGCCAATGCTCACAAAGTAGACAGAGGAGTCCTGCAACTTTATTCGAATAAAGGGAGACAGTCCGCTACGCCATACCCCCGTGGGGTCTCTGTCGAGATTTCGGAGCACGCAGTCTCCTTTTATCCTAAACTCCCGGGCGCAGGTTGCTCTCTTCCTTTTCCCATTGCCTGAGGTACAGTGGCAGGAGCTGGGCACTGGGTTGTGTAAAGCAAGCAGGGGATAATGAATTCTTGTCTTCTTAACTGAGTCCTGTTTAATACGTTTGTTAAAGGTGAAGATCAGCTGGAATTTGGTGCAGTGGTTCCAGGGGCTTAAAGGAAGCTGCTGTTTGCTGCCTGAGATGCAGATGTCAAACATTTCAGGATCTGGAGCAGGCTGGAAAGGTACAGGCAGCTCTGGGAAAGGTGCTGGGGGAGCTCAGCTCCACCCTTTGGCCTCCTGCACAACCAGGAGTGAATTTGAAATACCGAGGCCTGAACAAGTTCAAGCAAACAAATCTTCCCAGCTCCCTGTCAGCAAGTGGGCAGCAGAGAGCTGCTCACAAATCTGGACTCCTCTTTGAGGAAACTGCTGCAGAGTAACAAGGAAAGTGTTTAGAGACAATAAACATCCCATCCTAGGCAGATCCCTGCTCTTCTCTTGTGCTATGAGACTGTGGCAGAACCAACTCCATTGGAGTTCTGAATGGTTAAACTCACTAAGAGGAACATATTGACTATAGTGACAAATCCCAATACAATTCCTTTAGACTAAGGAGGAAAAAAGCCCCTACCAACTTTAGTCAGGATCTAAAATATCCCTTCTAGCTGACACAGCAGAGCAGGGACTGAAAGGCATCCACAATTAGCTATGCAAAGCATCTGTACTTTCAGCCAGTGACCCATATAAAATGAATAAATAATTCATAATTACATATGTAGTGTACACCATGCACGCCAAGAAGGGCTCCAGAGAGAGAAGCACAGTGGGCATGCTTTGCCCTCTGAAAGGAAAAGTCTTCCAGTTACTTCTGTCACCCTGGAAAGTCTCTGAGACCCAACTGAACCTCCATTTACAGCTGCAAAGCCACATTAGATATTTTCCCCATGAGGTTCTACAGCCTAGATTGACTCCATGATTCCTGAAATTCAGAGGAAGTATTCAAAGAATGCACTGGCACAGCAGCACAGCACCATCACTCCAAAGCAGGTGCACAACAAATTGAAGAAAGCAGGATTCAGTCTCAAAAGTTCATTACTTCCTCTCTTCTGGGTTTGCCCCCACACCCAAGTTTTTTACACCGAGGCTTTGGTAAAGCAACAGCTGCTGTCTGGTCCTTTTGGATTCAAGGTTCCAGTTCCTTCCTCTGCTGCTCAGATGTGCAGCTCTCAGACAGGCAGCAGCTCTGGGGGGTACTCCCCATAGCAGTATTTGGCAATTGGGTCTCTGTAGGTGTTCTCATGCTGCACACTCTGCCAGGAAAGGAGGAGAAGCTTTAACAAAATACGCACAGTGAAACAAGGCATCCCTTCACTGAGGGACAAATTGCACAGAGTTGAGGCACAGGCAAAAAAAATTCCCAAATTATTCTAGACATCAGAGTGCCTTTGGATCAAAGAATTCTGCACTGCCAGCACACAAGAGCCAGCTGATGTATTACAGCACTGGAATGTTGAACCAGAACCTCCTTTTCAACAGAGTACCCAAGTAGGTGGGAAAAGATTTAATTTAAAAAATTAGATCTGTTTAGGCAGTATCATCAAATGTTCTAAGCAAGCAGACCACAATGAAGTTGCAACTTGAGATGTATGCATTTCTCTTGACAAAAACTAGAGTTCAGATTTTATGGGTAAAAAATCCCAGTAACTTTGCAGACATTTGGAACTCCATCTTTTGTTTGCAGTCCATCCCTATTGCTACCTGAAATACCAAAGCTGCAGGACATACCCAACAGCACTTTCTAAACAGGCCACTGCTTGCTTAGAGCAAAACTTCTGCTAAAATCACATGGATAACAGAGATTCACCTTAATAATTAGCAGAGAAATTACAGCACAGTTTTGAGTTCCCATGCAGGTGATTGTCAGTACAGGGTGACTCTGCAGCTGCACCATAAAATAAAAAACATTCTGAGGCTACTGGCAACAGCTCTCACTGTCTTCATCCCAATGAGATCTTCCCCAGAACTCATCTGAGATTTTCACTGGTCACTGAACTCAGGCTCTTTTTGGTTAAGCCCCTATTTTCTACAGAGAATGTGCAACTCATCCTGTTCTATATAAAGTGCTTTCCCTTCAGGCTGGCACTCAGCCATGGCTTCAGCTTTTATGAAAACACAAACACAACACACCTGTTCAATTCACAGCACTGAGCCCATTTCCCAAGGGCACTTTTTGGACATGTGCTGGTGCCTCACCTGTGATGAAGTCCTGCACTTGGCCAGACACAGCTCAAAGTGATCCTCCACGGCCATGAAGAGGTTCTGGAATGCCATTGCCGCCCGGTTCAAGAACCGCTCCAGGAGGTGTTGCTGAAGTGGGCAGCAAAGAAAGGCAAAAATCAGAAACACTCAGCTCCAGCAAGGAGCAATCAGAGCCCACCCCAGCCTGCAAAGCTCAGGTATCAAAGGAACAGTAAGGAACTCCACTTAGGATTTCTAGCAAGCACTGAGAGGCTAATGCCTCAGAACCCCAGCAGCAGGACAAGAATCTAAGAGAAGCTCACAGAAAAAGGGGAACTTACAATTAAAAAACTAATACTGGCTGCAGTAACTCTTCTGCAATCATTGCTCTTCAGCAAATGCAATTCTCCTGAAGCTGAAACACTTTTCAGGACTCCCAGTATTTACTCCCAAAGGTGGGATGGATGAGTTTAGTTAAAGCTTTATTTATAGCTTGCCATGCACTCCTTGGAGGCTTTCCTCATCATTCCAAGAAAAGGAACTAATAAATAACTATAATCCCTCTAATAAAGCTCCTCACAAAGAAGCCCTTTTAGCCACAGAGAGACCCCAGCAGCTGAGAACCCCTGGAAAGCAGGAGGGAATCCATCACCTTGCTGGGCTGCAGGCAGCAGGACACGCAGAACTCGTAGATGCTGCAGCAGCCGTTGGGCAGGCAGCTGTCACAGCTGTACAGCTTGGTGCTGGGCACGTGCACATTGCAGCAGCCATTCACCAGCAGGTCCTTCCTCTCACAGATGTAGCCTGGAAAACAGCAACAGGAGTGACAACTGGCAAGGCACACCCCTCTGTGTGTCCTGTGGAAATCTGCAGTCAGGATCACAATCCCAAAGAACAGGTTTGTTTGTTTGTTTGTTATTTAGTGGGTTATGATCCCCCTCAGTCCTGTGCAGCCACTCTTTGAAATGGAGAGCAGTGGTTCAGACAGCCTGGTGTTATCTGCACAGCCATCACATCCTACTTTAATGGATGCTCTATATACACCAAGAGTATTTAAATGCACATTATTTCAGTTCTGACATCTTTTTTGGGGCACAGTTCCTTGTTGTGAAAGGGGAAATGGGATTGGCATTGATTATATTGGAAAAAAACCCACAACACACCTTTTTGCAACAGGTCTGTGTCTGAACAATTCTCTTACAGTTCAGTATGAAGAGACTTAGATTTAGCCAGTGTAATATTCATTGCTGAGTGGAATCCTTAACAGTATAGAAATATGGTGTATATTACAGAATATACACCATATTAAATATAGATAGAAACAGTACTACCACAGTGTTAGACAGTGAGAGAGATGTAATTTTTAGAGATCTTATGAACTGGCACTAAGCCTAAGTCAGACAGTGCCAAATGTAACATTGATGCAAATCACAAAAGATGTGGTGGGTTCTCTGCAGCCTTGATTTGTGGCCAAGAACCATCCAGGTCTAAGCAACAAGCACAGTGCAGGGCAGGAAAGTCTTTAGCTTCTACTGCTTGGAACAAGTGGTTAATAACCTTGGGTTTACAAGGTCAGACAAGCTCATTAACTGTGACTGAGCACTAATTGCACCAGCCCTGAGCTGCCTCCATGCAAGGCCAAGGTTTCCTCAGTTGCTCTCCCTAACCCCCCTGACAGCAGCAGAGGGAGACACAAAGAGCTCTGCAAGCAGCCACAGCAAACTGAGCAGGACTCAATGTTCTGTGCAAAGTAACTGGAATTCTTTGAATTTTAGGTGGTCACACTCACACAGCCCTGGGCCTGAGTCTGATGTGCACACAACCAAAGCAGCAGCACCTGCAGCCACAGTGAAATTCAGGCAGCCAGGAGAACAGGCCAAGGGTGAGTGAAAATGCCTTAATAAAGAGCAGCTGTTCCATCAAAGTGTCATCAGCAGTCAGAGAGGCAAAGCAGCATTCAGCACTGCCATATGCAGAATAAATTCAACTAAATATCAACTGTACCCAGTTCATCTGTAATGAGGAGCTTCCCCTGCACAGAGTTCCTGCACTGGTTGCTCAGCTGGCTGCTGTTCCCCGAGCTGAACTTCACCTTCCACATGATGGGCTGCTCATGCTCCTGCACTTGGAGGAGAGTCCGATCTCTCACCATCCTCTCTTCCTGCAAGGAAAAACAGGAATGCAACCAAACATGCCAGCTCCTCCTGCCACTTCAATCCACCAGGATGAAAGATGCCTAGTACTTGTAAACTCCCCAGCACAGGAAATTCCACCATCAATATTGCAAACAATTTACTAGTTGTAGTATTTTATTTCATACTTCAACAGAAGACACACGGTACAGTAAAGTCAGGGTATTTCAGTTCACTATGGATCAGCTAACACAGCTGAACTCAGTCACTACAACCACAATAGTATATTTTATATTAAATATAATAGCTGAACATATTTTATATGCATATTTTATATTAAAGTACATGATATATTAATTATATATTAAATAAATAATATATATTAATATAATGTTAATATACAATAATATAATATGTATTAATATATAATATATAAATATATAAAGTATATTTTATATTAAATATAATAGCTGAACATATTTCTCATTCATGAGCCCTTTGTGGGCTCAGTGGAACCACCACTCCCAAGAGACACAACAACAACACCCACCAAACCCAGTGGAGACTTTCTTTTCCCACTTTTGGTTCAAAACGCTGCTGCTGCCAAACACAGAAGCAGGCATTCCAATTTTAAACTCTTGCATCCATTCAATATTTATAACGTCATTCTTAGGGCAGCATCACCCAGGGTGCGGTGACAGCACCTGGAGAACGAGACTGCCCGTGCCATACGGGCAGGTCTAACCCAGCCGCGGCCGCGGGGCCCGGCCGGCACTGACCTGCTTGAAGGTGCTGCTGATGAAGTAGACGAGCGAGAGCCCGAACACGAC